TTACTATGACACATTTATTGTGTTATTCTCTCTCTCTCACACACACACACACACATGCACAGACACGCTACGCAACTCTTTCAGGCTTTTCGGGCAAAGTGAGAACAAACGGAAAAAGAACGCCTTTCGCCTCCAGAGGTGCCCTCAGCGTCTCCTCGACAAAGTAGGCGTTCTCCTCCTCCACTACAAACTGGAGAGTCTGGCTTTTGTTCACGCAGTAGATGCAGTTCCCGATGACGGCACACCTGAAGGGTAGGTGACTCCCGAGCCTCTGCGACATGCAGTCGTGCCACATTTTCACGATGGTGTTGTACTTGAAGACGTTGATGCCCTGCTCGCGGCTGACGTCAAAGCGGTAGATGAAGCTTTTCAGCGCCACCATGTCGGTGGACTTCTTCCTGCTGTTGTTGTAGGGGCACTCCTGCCACTCGTCTCTCTTAGGGTCGTACTTGAGGAGGCGGTAGAAAAGAGAGCCGCCCGATACGTAAATTTCTCCACTGCAGGTGGTCGCCTCGTGGGCCACCGCAAAGGCTCCCTTGGGCAAGGGGGCTACTGTCGTCCAGCGGTCCATTCGAGGGTCGTACTTTTCCACCGTAAACAAACATTCCCCTCCAATGGCATACAGATAGCCATCCATAGATAGGAGCTTCAGCTGGGCACGGGCCTGGTTCAGAGGTCTGACCTCGGCCCAGCGGTTGGTTATAGGGTTGTAACAGAAGACCTTGTCTGAAACCTTGCCTTTGTCCCCGTAGCCCTTTATTCCCCCGGCCACAAACAGGTAGTTATACATGGTGCAGATCCCACAGCCTTTAGTGTTTACGTCCTCGGGCATGGCAGTCAAAGGTCTCCAGTCATTTGCCGTCTCGTTAAAGTGGTAAATCATATGGTTCTCCTCCAAAGACCCCACCGACAAGGGGCTCTGTGGCCGGCTGCCACAGCGACTCGGCGGCCGGCTCCCAACTCGGTCGAACACGTCGTTTATCTCTGCAACCATCAGCGTCTTCCTCCCCTCCATTCTCTTCTTCAGAATCAGATCCCTCTCGGATCCCGTCAAACGCCCGTACGCGGCGGGGTCTTTGAGGACCTGGAGGAAGTTGTCGCTCATGAATCCGTAGGCGGTCTCCTTCAGTTCACTCAGCCGCTGCTTCTTGGCGATGGTGAGGATCTCGTAGCAGTTCTCCGCCGTGATTTGTTCAGACATGGAGTCCATAGCTGCCTGGACGGCACAGGGGATCTGCAGGATTTTAGCCCCCGTGATGACATCGACTACATTGTCTTTGCTAACACTGATGTTTGAAGTGTAAACATAGTCTATCAACGTGGACAAAGTCTTATAACTGATACCCTTCACTTTCAGGATGTTGCGTGACAGCCGTGCTTTGAAGTAGTCGCTCTTCTCAGCTAGGACGGACCTGTGAGCGTTGATCGTCTGCCCGCCTACCTCGATGACTAAGTCGGGCTCACTTTGTGTGTTTCCAGCTTCCTGGCTGCCGTCCCTGTGCGCCAGGATTGATTTTAGAGCCGGCTGATCGGCTTCCCGTTGGGCCTGGCTGGGCAGGTGTATGGAGGCATCTGCACTGTAGGACACTTTAGCTCGGGCGCCGTTGGGGATTTCGCCACCTGCACAGTTTTGCCGCATGCCAGCAATGTGATTGGAGCCAGCGTGAGGTGGGGCTTCTGGGATTTCCTTGTCACCTGAAAGGTAAAACCGATCAGCACTCGAGATGTACGAGCTGCCACCTTTCTGGTTGTCAGTGTGGTTATTCTCCATCAGGCTTCCATCCAGCAGGTATTCCTTTTCAAACCCTGGAGGAGGGCTGAAGCCGGGCTCATCTTGCAGGAATCCCTGGACGAACCCTGGACATAAATTCCTGTTTTTGTCAGTAAGCGTGATAAAGTCTGAGTTCGCCGAGTGGAGGATGGCGTCAGCCTCCACAGTGACAGCCCCTCCTCCCTGCCTGTGGCCCTCAGTCATCTCAATGTACTCACTGGTGATGGGAGACGGCGTCCTCACTGATCATGCTAAGCTGTGAGGGGATTCCTCTCTCTTCACCTACAGTTGGAGAAAACAAAGAGGGAGTTTAACCAACATCCAGTAGACCAGAACAAAAAGAACCCGTCTGGAAGCTGCAAAGACTTCCTCGCGCTCTAAGGGGCGCCCTTTCTCTAATGTCTTGAAAACATTTGAAGGAAAAAGACTTTTTGCTGCCAGTAATGATTTGCCATCACGCACAGCCTTTGAGCAACATCTGCAGCTCAACAAAGAAACAAGTAATCCCGACATGCAGCTTCTGCAAACTGCCTGACCCACTGCAATAATCAGCCTGTCCTCTCTATGTGGTAATCTGTACACATGCAGAACGCATGCGCATATGGCGGCACTCCGATGGAATAATGTTTAATAGGAAGGAAAACGGGTATTTTTGGAATTGTGTCCAAAACTCCTGTTTGTTTCCTTCGAGGATAAGGTCGCTCGAACGAGCCACAGCTGCTCATTCATTAGAACTGAGTCGGATTTAAAGCGTTTTCGTGTAATTGCAACACAATGTGAAACCAAAGCGTGGATTTTTGCGCGTTCTCGGTAAACTGCGACCTACCTTCGTTTTCTGGCTGTGATCAACAGCTCGACACCAGCGCTTTCCCCGCTCGTCCCTGCACAAAGCTCAGTTACGTAAGACAGTCCCGATGAAGCGGCGAGCCTGAGCTCCGCGGGACGAGTTCACCTCACGGTCGATTCCGATTCACGGTCACCTTTATCTCTACCTCCGGACACTCCGGGCTGCCGTTTCATCCGCTCATCCTGTAAAATGTGCCGGAGCTCCGCGGCGGAGGCGAGGCAGGGGGACGATCAAACAGTCATCTCAAGTCACACCTCCTTCAGATCAGCCGTGGACGTGTAATTTCCTCCGGTGGAAAGTGCGGAGAGCCGACGCGCGCGTCCAAGCTGGAGCAGAGGACCGCAGTGATAGGCTCCCACCTCCACGAGCACTCCGGATGTTGATTTTTGTTGTCTTTATTTATTTGTGGAACAGCTGGCAGGAGCGAGGTGGTTATTATTGACCCAGACCACGCCCTCATCGGTCGGCGTTAACCCCACACTCAACGGCGCGTGCCTCCATCTGCTGTGCGCGCGCTGGACGCAGCATTCCTGCACATGATCCGTGTGTGGGGGGACCGCGGGGGTCAGATATAAGTCCATGTGCATGTAACATCTGTAAGCTCATATAAGGATTACCCCCCAACACTAAAAAAGACCGCTTCAGTACAATTCATATGTGATAATACAGAAATAATGAGATCTGCGAAAACTTTGTGGCAGTGGGTACAACCTGCAGAGGGTCAGCCGTGACGTCACCACACTAAGACGTATGGTCCTGGACGGCTGGGCTCATCCCGGGCAGCCAAAGCAGCATCAGTCCACATCAGAGATGCAGCTCACAGCTGAGCGTCTTTAAAACTTAAACACTGAAAATATATTTAAAGCATTCACCACCCTGTCAACAGAATGACCGCTAACATCAAAAAATGTGCAAACAAATCCAAGAGGCTTTCGCTGCATGAGATACAGAACATAACAGATTTATTACACTGTGTTTATGGCACATCTGCCCCAAATCAACAGCACTGGTAATTACCAAAGTCATGTTTCATGTTTCTGTTCGGGCTAATCCACCAGCATGCACAAGCTCTCTAATCAAAATGATACATAATTATTGCTTTATATTTATTGCAGAAAAAAGTGACATTATTTTTCTACTAGGAGGCCAAACTACAGTTATTCATTTGCAATCCTGAACAGAAAGATGAATTTCAGCGATTGAACGTTCCCACTCAAAGCCTGCAGCGTGCACGAGGCAGAATCTATACAGGCAGGTGAATGAGCCACGACAGAGCTCTGTCAGATCCATTACATTTATGTAACACACTTTACAACTGATCTGAAGGTGCTTCATACTGCGAGGCAAAGACTCAGAGATAACTGTGTGTTTGAAGATGTTTCAGTTACAAGCTTTTAACAGAGAGAAAGAAGCTTTCACTTCTTCCTGAACGGGCTTTTATATTGGTCGCTAAAGCGCTGCACTTTCACAGTATTCTTTGAATATCTTCCATCTTTGCTCATACATAAAGGACTTTTTAGTCAAACCGTATAATATTTCATGTTTCTGTTTAAAAGAGGACAGCCTGACAGAGCAGCAGCAGCGTGGGTCTGTGACCTCTCCTCCACGGAGGCTGCGTGTCTTAACAACTGACCTTCAGATATAAAAATAGAGAGGAGCCACGGCGGGGGCATCAAACAAATATCAACCCTGTGAGATTAGAGGGCATTCAGCTGGGAGCTTTAATGCCAGATATTTCCAGAACAAAGCCTCGCCGAGGACTGATACGAGCACATGAAATGAGCGTCTCCATGGAAACCTCAGGGTCAGACGGAAAACAAAAGACTTCCCGTTGCAGAGCTGTCAGACAGCCTGATAACTGGGTTACTTACAATGAGATCATCTGTGTTTGACTTTAGTTAATGCAACATTCTGTAGGTGCAGCGTATAAGACAGGAAACTCAGATCAGTGTTAGCAATCAGGAGCTGAGGATTGTGGGAACACGTCCAAATGTCTATTTTTGTTAGAGCTCATAGTGAAACCTGGTTGTGCAACGGTGGACGTGGGCGTTATGAGAGAAAGTGCCTTGACCCTCTCAGCTCTGCAGCAGGAGAAATCCCGGAAGAGCTGCATCAGGCTCAGTTCCTGCCGCCCCTCAGGCACATTGCTAGTCCCAGCATGTCCCGATGGCTGCACACAATCACAGCGCAGTGCGAGGTTAGAGTCGAGCACAGAGGCACGCCGACACCCTTCGGCCCTCTGATCGCCTCCCAGTCGTCTTGCACACTGTATGTCTTCACCACCGTGCGACCGCCTGTGTGTTAGCGTGCTCCTCTGTAAACCTGAACGAGTGACAAATCTCCACCAAACTTCAAACAAAGGAAAAAAGTTTACTCAATAAATCAATGTTTATAGATTTGTTAATAAACATAAGTACATAAAAGGCACGAGAAAAGTATAAATCTTTTATATATATTTTCTTAAAACATTGTTATGCCAGAAAATAAAAGTGAATTAGGGTAAAAAACAAAAAGAAGAAAATCTGTCATGTTGGCAGCAAGTCCTTCCTCCCTTTACGAACAGACACCTGGCCAGCAGGGATCCTCATCAGGCCTTCACAAACTCATTTATTCATCTGAAGTTCACCTTTTTAAAAATCCCTTTTCTCTGTTAACATAATAGTCTGAGCATCAGAGATGATACACGAGGAAATCACACACACACACACACACACACACAATCCTGAGCCGTCACACTTACAAAGTCCAACTCTGATCTAACCACTGTCCAAAGCCCAGCTCTAACCTCACAACAACCGTTCACGTGACAGCAGATACCTCGCCGCTTGTTATCTCCTCATTTCCTTTCAACACTGATTTAAATACTGCAGATCCAGATGGACCTGAAACACTGAAATGTGTTAGCTAGGTTACAGAGCAACGTCCAACACTCGGTAGCAACAGGTCCGCCCTCAGTACGACCTTCGACCGTCGGTAGCCGTCATTTCCTCCTGGTTTTTCGGATCTTTGTCCCATTCCGGTTTAAATAAGACACTTAGTTGCTTTGATTGATCCCAAATATTCTGTCAAGTGTTAACAGCAGACCTTGATGTGTGCAGATTCACCTGAGGAAAACAAAAAGGTACATGTAAGGTTTTCTATACTTCATGTAGACATTACCTGCTGCTCACTAATGCTAACCTCCCACCTTGGTGCTGCAGTCACATGTTGAGTAAGGGGATCTGCCAGATCATGATGGTAGAGGTGGTGTCCTCATGGCGAGACTGCTTGGTCTTCTTGTTGACCCTGCGGTGTCCCAGACCTCCAGAGACCACCAAGAGCGAGCTGACGTCCACCTTACTTGAGCGGCGGCCTCTCTGGTGATGGGCCGGGTCGTGGAGCACATCATAAAGGGCCCCGTCCTCAGGCCCGTGCTCCAACGAACCCTGGGATGGAGCCAGCGAGCCACAGGACGAGGAGGACAGGGAGTCCTGGAGAGCCATGGCAGTGCAGCCCGCCTCTCCCAGCCACACCCCTCGTCCCTGCGAGGGGGCTGAGTCTGATGGAGGCTGGGTGCTCTCCACATCCTTTGACTCTGCAGGCTGCAGTGGGCCTGACGGCTGGTTGCACACTGCAGCGGCGGCGGTGAGGAACTTCACCGGTCCGCTGTGAGCATGTAAGGACACCATGCCCCGACCTAAGAACGGCACGAACATTCAAATTAATGTCAGACTTGAACCTGGACATGTTTATCATACACATACACTCCACAGGACACTATGAACCTGAGTGACACCCTGTTCTAAATGTGATGTCAAACCAACCTTTGTAGCTGTAACAGCTTCAACTCTTCTAGGAAGGCTTTTCACAAGGTTAGGGAGTGTTTATGGGATTTTTAAAAATGTCTAATTCATCCCAAAGTCGTTCTATCAGGACTCTGTGCAGGCCAGTCACACCAAACTCGTCCATGTCTTCATGGACCTCGTTTTGTGCACTGGTGCAGTCGCGTCAGAACAGGAAGGGGCCATCCCCAAACTGCTCCCACAAAGTTGGGAGGATGCAGTTGTCCAAAGTGTCTTTGTATGCTGAAGCATTGAGGGTTCCTTTCACTGGATCGAAGGGGCAGAGCCCCACTCCTAGAAAAACAACCCCCCCCTCCACCAAACTTTACACTTGGCACAGTGCAGTCAGACGAGTACCGTTGCCCTGGCAACCCTCAAACACAGACTCAACCATTGGGTTGTCAGATGGAGAAGCGTGATTCGTCACTCCAGAGAAAAACGTCTCCTCCGCTCTGGAATCCAACGCTCGACTCCACTGCATCCGATGCAAGTCTTGGTCACCATGGAAACACTGTTCCTGAGCTAATCTGAAGGAACTTCGGATGTTTGCAGCATTCCCAATCTCTTCCACTCTGTTATAATCCCACTAACAGCTGACTGTGGAACATTTAATGGTGAGGAAAGTTCATGACTGGACCCACACCCAGTTTCACACCTTGACTCAGGCGATTAGAGGATCATCAGGGGTCCTTTTGTCCCTCTGTGGGGGGAAACTCCCACTAGGTTTAAATCTGGGACTCTCCACCATTTGACCTTAGAACTGAAGAAGCTTCTCGGATGA